ACAGCCTGAATCGGAGCATTCCCCACAAGAGTGGCGATAATCTGAATCCCCTTTGACTGCTTCGGACGTCTCCCAACTTGTTCACGCTGCAAACCATTTCGCACCTTTCGTAGCTTGCTCAGCTAATTCTGTGCATGTGCATACTTCCTGGCAAGAACAGCGTGCCATCGCAATGCCAGAGAAGACATCATTACATCGCGCTCGCCGCAGAGCGCACACATGCCGCACTACTTCATGCACATGCAGTGGATCTCCGCCTGTTACACACGGTACTCCTGACCGCAGACGCCTACTGGAGGCAGCAAAGCAATGTGACTGGATGCCTGGAACGTCTTCGCAAAATCGTATCTTGTGGAGATACCAATGCTTATCGGAGACTTTCGAGGACATGAAAAAATATGGGGTTTCAACGCAGATGGGCTGGATCAAGCTCGTCTCTGGCAGCTATGTGAAGCTGCCACAAACAGCCTGACGTGAGGTGGCCAACTCATCAGAATATCAGAGTCTGACTTATAAATTGTACCTTTTCGCTAAACCCTAAACCCTAATCCCGCCTGTGTAGAGATTCATCCCAACCAGCATGCAACTGGAAGTGTAAGGGCACCGATGTATGCCCCCCCAGGCAATTTTACGGGATGCTCCCGGTGTTTCAGACTGGCTGGAAACTCGTTTAAATATTTCCTGCTACTTCGCACTAACCTGGTAGCTAATTATTCGCATACTCGCTGGCAAAAACAGCGCTAAATCGCAACGGGATTGAAGGCTACGCGACATTCAAAGCCTCTCGCATACGAACTGCATAATCCCACATGAGCACGCAGGCATGTTAACGCATGCAGGCATGTTAACGCATGCAGGCATGTTAACGCATGCAGGCATGTTAACGCATGCAGGCATGGTAACAAATGCAGGCCCGTCTGCTCTCAAAGGAATACTGCCTATACCCATATCGGCACGAATGTTGAATTAAGGTCAACTCTAGTAACAGGTGCGAAACAGGTTGACTGCTGAATTGCTTCTTGTTGGAGGACCAGCGTTAACCGAATCTTGGAAAATTATCAAGAAGGGTAGTGCTCATTAGCAAAGTGCCGCCGTAACAAAGCTCGTTGTTGATCGAAAGTAGCTACGAATTGTCTGACCAGAGATAACTAGATCCAGAGGCTATCAGCGTCGCGCTCATTTGTTGTACCTACTCCGAAAGCAAGACACCGCACCTACACTTACCAGAAAAATCTGTCTGTAGTAAATCTTCCGTTGCCTTTTATGCTGTCAAATAGCTACAAACTACGCTACTGTTTCTGTCCCTATTCATGCAACTGTGCCATGCGGACTTCAAACACTAGTTCGTCGCGGCATTGAATGCAACCAGGCCTTCGCTCTTCCCCGGATTCGCTAGCCGGGTACCACCATGCATCATGGGTCATATCGCCAAACCTGTTAGCCATATGTCACACATTCACCAGTATCCACTGTTGTTGCCCTTCGGTACTGTTTTGCAGGTGCGCTTTCTGACAAAATAGCTGTCCTAGTGACGCCGGACACTGTCACGCCATATGATCTTGCCCAGTGCCCATAATATGTCTCGATCCAGTAAGACCCTGTGAAGGGACTAGCCAAGACTAGGCAAACTCAAAATACTCTTCGCACAGCGACTATTCGAGTATGCACGAATGCTCGTGCACATGGATGCCTGCCACAAAACAGCCGGAAGCGTAACAGCACTCACAAAGTTAAGCTTGCCGAGCATACATTCTTGAAAAACCAGCACGCAATCAAGCCGTAAAGGAGGGTTTTGGTTCAGTCCCTAGCTGACATCGTCACTTGTAATACCAGGTGTTGTGTCTCAAAAGAATATGGCAGCAACGAATAGATGCCAGGAAAGAGATCAACCATGGCACAACGAAAGCCATTTTTTCTGATCATACAGGCAGGCAGCCTGGGACGTAATGCCACCCAAAGTAGCGCAGAGCAGATGACGTGTCCTCTAACTACATACTTTCTGGTCAAAAAAGCTATCGATCGCAACGTTGGAGAAATTTTCGCAGCATCGCACCCGAGGTAGCTTGCTTCTCAAAACTAAAAATCCCTGCGTTGTGCAATTATCCATATCCAGTAGCTCGCTTCCAAATTCCGCGCACGGCGCCCCCAAAGGGAGCTAATTTTGACTGGAGCTTCCGGGTAAGCGCAGTGCCACTTGTACGGCCCTGCAGTTGCTGCGTCCATATCGAATCGCCGCCTGTTACGGGAGCAACAAAAATCGGCACAAAAGTCTAAACCACAGAAGTTTTAACACGTACGCAAGGTGCTCGGCACCACGTTCACCTCTGATGATTATGCAGAAGGCAGCGAACACCCCGTCTCGACACAGTTAGCTTGACAGAGTGTTAGTGAAGAATTCATATGTTGCACTTCCTCTGAACACAAAGCAGTTCAGCTAATCTCGCCAAGAAGGAGTAAAGCCACCCCCTGGACTACGAGGTTGGCTGACTCTTGTTTCAGCATAGTTAGAACAAAAACTCCACTTCCCCCGTCCCTTTGTGCAAATGCCAAGCACGGACACCAAATGTGTGTTGGGGGTCAAGACAGAGGTGGGCCGCCCGTCAATACTACCGTCCTGCGCAGAACGACCCCCATCGTATACAGACTGCAATTCTTACCAAACCGCGTAGTGTCTGAGTCCGTAGACAAAAGGATGTATTGCGCTACAAATGTTTTGCCACAACACATCAATGGCATCGTGCGTAAAGTCACACTCTGTTGCTTATGAGGCCAGTGCACTCCCGAACAGCCCCACTCTAGCAGCCGCCAAAAGAGGTCACGCTTCACGCAAGGCGATTACCCACTTCTTTCCAAGCTGCAACTTCCGGAGTATGCCTGGAATCATATATATACATATATTCTCACCCTCAGAAAGCCAGAAGCTGTCGGCAAGTCCCCTTGGAAAATGAGTTTGTCTGGGCTGCTTCAGGCTTGCTGAAAACTGCCCTCGCTGGTGAATGCTTCTCGTCTCGCAGGTAATCTTGACCATACTCGCTAGGAAAAACGGAGGGCGATAGCAGCGCCAAGAAGTATTTCGTCGGACTGCGCCTGTAGTCGAGCAGACCCAAGCCACATGCCAGTTCGATGCTTATACGCACAATTCTCCGACCTCTTCTGCAAATACTGCATATATTCCTATCAGCATCCCAAGCGGATTTTATTGAGGATGCATGGATAAAACATCAGACTAAGACTGCCAGATGGTGCCGTTGGATGAGTCTTGGCTAAAGCCAAACGATAATCGAACATTCCAACGACGCAGAGTTGTATCACGCACATTGCAAGAATTAACCGCGTTCTACTCTGATTATGCAGAAGTACTACGGGCACTCTCTCACGACACTAACAGCTCCCCAGTCTACCAGCGATGCATTCGAATAATGCACCACCTCCTGACACAATGATTTCTGCCTAATATCGCAAACCAGAAACACTCGCCTGCACTACGACGTTTTCGTTCTTTGGGGGGGATATACGCGGATCTCAACAAACTGCATTAGCCAACCTGTTGACCTCTAGCCGCCCATCGCTATCGCGTCCCACTCCCAACAACTACATCATACACAATTGGGCTGACTGACAATCCTAGTGAGCTTTTAATGCCAATCACCGCCGGTGCCGCCTGTTCCCACGCACGGCGCTGTCCCACGAAATCACCGCGACCTTTCGTCAGGTCCGGCTAGGCGGCGCAAACGCGGGTTGCCTATAGGAACGCACGATCCCAGTGAATCCAGAAAAATGCATGGCTAGAGCAAAATGACCCAAGTGGTCCTTAAGCTGCAAACCCGCATAACTTCAATGGCCTGAAATGCTGACGTTACGCACACAATGCCTGTGCAAAGGCAGTGAGTCTTCTTCGGGTGATTAATGCTCTCTACGAAATATTCCACCCGCTAAACGTTTTGCATATCGGCAACCCATGTCGCTTATTATGAGCATACTTCCTAGAAAAAGCAGGGCAACGCAACAATAGAAGATGCGCCGCGTCCCCTCACCAGTAGGCAAGCTCACCCATAGAGTACAGAGCTCCTCGACTGTCACGCATGCAAGAAAAGTCGTAGATCAGATAACACTGTCTATCTGTCTGTAGGCAGAAAGCCATGATTACAATCAAAACAAGCGAACTGACCTCAAGTCCGATGCCAACTGTACAGCGGTGAACCGGGAAGCAGTGACCGTCCATGCGGAACTGCCTTCGCGCTGGGGAGCCAACCATCGCAAGCCCAACCGCAAAACAACGACTTGCGAGACGACGTGGACAGCTAAAATCCAACTGGAGTAAGCGGTTGATCCAAACCGATGTCCTGCCTTTGTCCGCATTTGACGTCCATTTATTTTTTTGCTCTGGCATACGCATCCATGCCTACAATCGGATTCTCTGACCCTTAAGCACATGACTGACTGGGCGAAACACATGAGTGTTCTTCCGGTGCCTCAGTCATGCAATAAACTGTCCTCGCTTGTCAACGCTCCGCATACGCGCAGCTCTCTGGAAGGCAATATGTTCGCACCGTCTTGCCACACCAGCGCACGATTACAACGCATGGAAGCCCCCTCCACGCCAAGCCTGCAGGGAGGCAAACGCAAGTTGCACACCGGCGCGAATCTCCCATTAGCAGGTTATCTATGGATCTTTCAAAGGTTAGCAGATGAAGTGAATTGCTACGCGCGCAAGCAATGGTAACCGCGTGCAACCGTAATAGCACCAAACCCCCAAATAAGTACAGCTGGATGCATGGGGCGTCCTTCGTGAATTACGCCTTGCCAAAGAATCGGGAACGTCGGCGAATGTTGGGGTGGAAACGGTATTTCACGCGTGTCAACCAACGTGAGATGTATCGTGTTTGCCCCTGTTTATTTTTGAAGGCAGCTGCTGGGAACCGTCTTTCGCTGGTTTGACTAGCCGGGAGGAACATTGGCGGCGCATGCCCCCTTCCGTTACCCAGACGCTGCATATTAAGCTACAGAGTCCTCTTTGTCTTTGCGCAAGTGGTCTGCGGGTCGCCACCACACGCGGCGTTGGTTGCACTGTTGCCCGTTTCCTGCCCTTCCCTACTCTAATCACCGGCGCGCAACCTACCATTAAACATGAACATAACCGGGCTACTCAGCAAGCGTAATGAACGTTCAATGTGAATCTCTGAGTGGTTATTGGATCCCACTAGCGTGCACTGCGTCGCAAATACGTTGCCTAGCCAGTTCAGTCGAAACAAGTATAATGCCTGACTCTCCTTCGCAGACTCCTGTTACCTAGAGAGGCACTCCGCCATAGTAGATACCAGCCACGGCCCAGACTGAAACACACAGGGATATTCACAGTGCAACTCCATCATTACGCAAGCACACACATATGCATCAATGACTGCCAATGCACAACCTGAGACGTGCAAGCATCCATAACCACGGCAAAGGAACGAAATTGCTTCGGGTGTTTCAGGCCTGGTACAAACTCTAAGTGCTGTTAAAACGCTTTGCAACTCCACACGTGCGTGCATACTTCCTGGCCAAGAACAGCATGCGGTCCGGATGCCAAGAACGGTTTAGCCACATACGCGTGCACACAACATGCACATCCACAGGAAGCTCACCTTTGCAAAGTTCCCAACCTCGCTAGGTCGGCAAACATACCGAATTTTAACCACCGCAAGCGAACTAAGTTCAAGCCCTACAGCAGATGCGAAACGGTGCAGCTGTCTGCATGAAGGCTCTGTTGTCCAATTGTTCCTTTTGGGAAACCTGACAGTATTCGAACATTTTCGAAGCGTAAATGATACCTAACCTTCGTACAGATCGCCGGCCTGTTTCGCGTACTCCCACCTTCCCTGCTTTTTGCAGAGCTCTGACGTCGAACGGAAATGAAACACGCAGTCGTAGGTTGCATATAGTTCCAGCACACGGCAGATGAACTAATCATGCCAGGCCAGAAGCACACATCAGCACTAAGATGCCTCCTTTGGAGTTGCCCAACAATGGCACATTAATCTGTCTTCTGCATACTGTTGCGCAAGCTCCATGCGGACTCTCCCAATTCGCTTTGGTCGAGCTGTCTGCCCTGGCTTGCCATTCGCTATCTCCGTATCGCGAATAACGGCTACTGCGATATTTAACCGGACTGATCTCTATTCCTGCCTAGTGTTTGACGCAAAGATTACTAATCGTTACTTCCTCATGTCAAGCAATGGGCTGCAGATTCACTGTCTCACCAGGTCTCTCATATCGTTTGTAGTACCCGACTGTCTCAGTAGCGCAACTCGCGACATGTCGTCCATCTAGATGAGCATGTCAACCGTGGTTGAACCAACATACCATATGTATGCACGTCTACACATATGCATCAACGTCGGCTCCCAGGCAGCCTTGACTGCAGCGATTCCCTTGACCGTTCCAAGCAGATGACGCTGGTACTTAGTAGTAGGAGCGAGTGCATACTTCCTGGAAAGCATTGAGCGGGACACTTTTGCCGGAAGAGGCTTTGTCACATCGCGCCCGTAGACGTTTGTGCACAATCCCCATACCAGCACGATGCTCATGCACGCAATCTCCCTAAATCTTCGCCAAATATTGCATATATAGTCCGATTGGCAGACGGACGGATTTCAGTACCAGCGAGCAAGTCAATCACAAGCAAAACGATACAGCAGGCTGTATCGGGTGTTCCTGTCAAATTGCCTCTTGCTGACCTTCGAACGAGACCAAATTGGAAATTTTCGAGAAAACTAAAACATATACGCTGCGTGCTCATTGAGAGATTGCTTCCTGATTGTCTTTGTGGACAATTTCGGAAATCCGTGAAAATGTGCCAAGATCGAGCCAAAATGCCTAATTTCATCCATGTGCTCCAGTTACTCCCAACACAAAACGGCTTAACTAATATTGAAAAACTATAGCAACCTGCCTTCACTCCGCACTGCCGCAAATCCTCCAGCTTATTGGGAAGCAATTAGGCAACACAATAGGTACGCGTTGAGCTACGGGAAAACAGTTTGCAGATCTTCACACCAGGTGCCGGTGGCGCCTGTGGAAGCTTTCCGTTCTTTGTGATTCCGTTATCAGTGGTCTGGCCACCATCATATATTGTTGCGATAGCTATCGATAATGTCAAATGTTTCAAACTAATCACAGCGTTGTTGCTTCTTCTTCCTGCGTGTAGTGTACTGCAGACTTACTCATGCTTCAGTTCATGGCCATATTTAGGAATGGCAGACTCTGTCTCGCAAGAGCACATAATTCAGGCAAGAGCATGGTTTAACCAAAAATTGATCCTACGTTACAATGCAATACCGCACATCGGCATGCATCTAAATGCGCTTCCCTTGCTGCTCGCATACAAACTGATACCAAATCCGTTAGCAGCAAATGAATTCGCGTCATGCCCTCCATCTTTGCTACCGACTGCCGAAACTACAAAATGCTTGGCATTTCCGCATCTTTTGTTGCACAATTATGTCCATACTTCCTGGCCAGACCAGCGCTTGCTTGCAACGCCACAAAAAGAATCGCCACATCACACCCGTAGGCGATGGCAAACCAGCAGACTAGCCCAATGATGCGCACACATACAGATCCCCTCTCCCTCAGCCAAATATTGCCTATTCCCCTAGCAGCATTGGGAATGGACTTTAACGAAGGCTAGCAAGCAAATCGCAGTCCTTACACCACCTCAAAACAGTGCAGCCAACTGTGTGGGGTGTCTTCTCAACTCGCATCTTGTAAAAAAATCAATCGATATGTAGCACCTGAGCGCAGCCTCCGGGCATGCTTCCACGTTTCCTGCACCTGTTATACCGTAGCTCTGTAATAGGTTTCCCTTGGGATACCTAGCTTAAACGAAAGTAAGTGAGGCATTCATACCTTGCACGGTATCCAAACACAAAACGGGTCACCAAATCTCGCACGTCTTGGAAAACGCATTATATACGAGTCTTGAATTCTCTAAGACAACTCAATAACTGTACAATGGGCACTGGGGTCGCGTCGTCCAATGACAGTGCTCTGTTTCTTTGGTGGACGCGTGTTGGTCGAGCTGTCGTTCGCGGCCCGCACTGCGCATTCGCAGAACAATTATCAGCATGCATACCCCGGGAAGTCGCCAATGATACTCGGAGGTCATCAATAATTAAACGCGGAGTTGTTGCTCTATCCAACAACGTGTTGCTCTGCAGCAATGCCGGCTTCCCAATTCACTGACATCGCGTGTTATGGAATATTTTGTGTGGCAAATACGCATCGCCTGCGAAAACACCCAGCTATGATGAAAGTCAAAACGAATGCATGGCAAGTGTATCCATACGCATAAATGCATGTTTGCATACGAGCTGAAACGTAAAATTACCCATAACCGTCCTCACAAAATGGTTTGGCTTCGGGTCTTTCAGATGGACTGTACATGGTTCTAGCTGCTGAGCATGTCGACACTCTGAAATGTTTCTAGCTAATTATGTGCATACTATCTGGCCAAAACAGAGTGCAAGTGCACCACAACAGGAGTACGTCTGGAACATAGCGATTCCAAAGGCAGACAGACACGCGATATACAACTCCGAAGGGATCATACAAGCAGCCCGCCTAGCAATATTCGCTCGGCACATGCCACCGCCACACGCCTCCATCACGTGTTGCTCATACGTCTACTGGCAGAGGGAGATGCGTTCAGCAGGGAATAACGGGCTAGATCCAAGTACAACGGCGAATGGTGCACGCGGCGTCATGGAACGTCCATGTTCCACCGTGTTTTGCTCTAAGATAAACGATAATTGGAATTCGCTCGCATAGCAAATACATTACGCACGTGAACTAAGATGGCTATACCATGCTAGCCCGTTGTGCTGGTGGACGGGTGCTACGAACAGTCTGTCGCGAGATGACTCTATCTAAATGCCATTACCAACACAGTTTTACATTGTACCCCGAACGTAACATAGCTTGACTAATCTCGGCACGCCGGCAACACCCACCTGAATAACTAGTTCCACTTCTTTCGTGTTACTACACAATGAGATGCAAATTTAGCGTTCTTGTGCGCATGCACACTGTGGACTTAAACAGCTCGTAGTGGCCGAGGCCGGCGAGCTTGACCTGGCCTTCGCTGTTCCCCTCCTTCCCAGAGCAAATAGCAGCCGTCACTAGTACTACCACCGCGTAAAAGGTGCGTCCTTCAACTACATGTTGGACAGCAGAATACGTTAGCAAATTTTACCACCAGCGTCGATAATTCCACAAACTGTGTAACCAGCAGCCCTCATAACTGCGTAAGAAGGCCAATTTGCTTCGCCTGCCTCAGATGCTGTACAAAGTGTTAGAACTTCTAGAAGATTCGCATCGCCGTAGGTCCGCCGGCAAATTATCTCCATACTTCCTGGCCAGACCAGCGCTTGCTTGCAACGCCACAAAAAGAATCGCCACATCACACCCGTAGGCGATGGCAAACCAGCAGACTAGCCCAATGATGCGCACACATACAGATCCCCTCTCCCTCAGCCAAATATTGCCTATTCCCCTAGCAGCATTGGGAATGGACTTTAACGAAGGCTAGCAAGCAAATCGCAGTCCTTACACCACCTCAAAACAGTGCAGCCAACTGTGTGGGGCGTCTTCTCAACTTGCTTCTTGTAAAAGGATCAATCGATATGTAGCACCTGAGCGCAGTTTCCGGGCATGCTTCCACGTTTCCTGCACCGTAGCTCTGTAGTAGGTTTCCCTTGGGATACCTAGCTTAAGCGAAAGTAAGTGAGGCATTCATAACTTGCACGGTGTCCAAACGTGTCCAAACACACAGCAGGTCACTAAGTCTCGCGAATCTATGGACATCACCTCACGCTCGGAATCCCTAATTATTTTGGTTTATATTTAGTGGTTCAATGAAGATGCACTCTTGTGCAAGTCCAGCGCCTGTTTAGAAAATTCGGTCTGGCCGCCCTGCTGGCCCCGGCGTGGCATTCGCTTCTCCTGCCCTTCGAATGACAACCACTATCATATACAACTTGAATAATGGCCAAGCCGACTATATGTGTAATGCAGATAAGCACGTCGGCGTTGCTTCCTCTTACTGCATGCTGCGCTGTGGATGGAGTTTTTCATATTGTCAGATACATGCAAGGGCATGTTGCGTATGGGAACAACTCCACAAATAACAAACCCAAGCGAACCTCGATTACAACAAGAGAAGCTCCTTCGTCTTTTCACACTGCAAATTCACGCAACCCCACGGATGTGCGTACGCATCCGTGTCTGCGCTCTTACGAGCTGAAGCGTAAGAGTCAATATAACAGCGTCCGCGAAAGGACTGCTCTTGCATACATTGAGTTTCAATCCGAACTATTCTAGCCACCTAATCTCTCGTATATGAAACTACTTGCAGGCTACGCATGCGCATACTTGCTGTGCAAGATGGCACATGCACGTAATTCCAGAGGAAGCTTTAAAACACTGCGTCTGTGTACGCACACTAACCTCACGATGCTCAGGCATGGACGCACCCATGAGGTTAAACATTCTTTGGCGGATCGACCAGCACTCCACCAAAGACTGTTTAACCGTATGCAGGCACGCAAAGCTTACACGCGTCAGGAAAAGCAAGCCAAATATAGACGGTCTGATTGCCCGACTGGAATGGATCTCGTCTGGAAAACCGGCGGCGATGAAATTTATTTCAAAGCACAATACTGCTGGCTCCTTAGGTGTTTTGGACCAAGCTTGTATGTAGTACTTGAGCAGACATGCTACGACCCCTGTGAAAAGAGGGCTAGCTCGAAGGACTAATAGCGACGCATTCATAAACTGCACTATTCCGACTACTGGGCAGCTTAAGTACTCTCGTCAAAGCAGGAATATCTTACGTACTCTATCCTCCCCTTGTGCATCTATTCAATCTCTCCACAATAATCAACTGGTTTCGCGTTCTTGTTGTGTTAGTGCCATGTGACACTGTGATGGTTGCGCTGTGGGCCCCGGCTTGAACTTTGCTCTTCCCTTCCTTCTTAGGGCGGCTGTCATACATAACCGGACTGGCCTTCACGGCAACTATAGGTATGGCACAAAATACCGCGTAATCGCTGTTTTTCCTACCACGAATGCACATACATTACTTTATCAATTCACCGACATCTTTGCAATTTCAAATTATGTCTGGCAAACTCGACTTGTAGTGCCGAGACACCTAGCCCGAGCAGGAACAAAAGTCTAGTACTGCGAAAGCAACAACGCTTTCCTGCTTCCCCTCACACTCCAGCACCACAACTCTTAGAACAGACTTCCCGGCTTACCATCACGC